TGTTCGTAGAGTATTCCAGCTAGACTTCCAGCATGCACGTGCACATTCGGACATTTATGGTAACGAAGCAGCAGACAGGTTAGCAGCTCGAGGAGCAGCAGGTAGGATTTCCCCGCACACACAAGTCTGGATACAACGACCCCCCTGGCCCAATGGGAACTGACCCTACCCCACCCGCCCCAAAACGAGCACCCCGGATGCGACGACCTGCAGCAGCCACCGGACAAGGGGGAGGACGCTGGCCTATGATGCTATGTGTTTCATGTAATGTAGAATTTCGGTTCTGTGACCTCCCCCAGCACCAACCAGATTGTAGGGGACCGGATCCGGCGAATCGTACGTGCAAATATTGTGCGAAGCTCTTTGAGAGCGTGTAAGCCCGAAAAAATCACGAAAGATATTCACACTCACAAGATGCACTAAGGGATGGACTGATTTCACGACTACCTAAACGACGCACAGGCCGCTAAGTGAACACAATTCTCATGTCCAACCACTCACTTGTCGGAACATTTTGCCCCTTCCCCGCAGCCATCATGAACTTCAAAGTAGTGCTTTTGTGTCTTACCCTCCTGGTCTTGTCATGGCTCGTCTCCCCAGGAATCAGGGAATTCAGACTCCACCAGAAAGCACAAAATGGATGACTTTGAACGTCGTCTCACGCAAGCAGAAACCCGCCTTACCCAATATAGTGATCGCTTGGATCATGTTGAGTTGCGTATGGAAATGGATCAAAACTACAAGTTCCTCAGGGTGGAAGCCTGCCAAGGGTTGGTAGACATGTTCGAACGCATCGAAAAAGGGGAGGTAGCCAAAAACGACATACATAACATTGCAGGTCAAACACTTACCAGGGAAATCCGGGAAGTGTTGGAACGACAACATGAAGAAGGGGCATTACAACAGTCATCCCAAACCCACGGAAACAACCGACGAAAATGGCCCACAGCAGTTCAGAGGAAATTGGTCTTCGATGGCCTCAACCTTTGCCCCCTTATTAAATGGTGCTCTAAGGCTGGCAACAATGTATATTCCATCAGGCTTTCCCCTGGGGAACCGTCCCGGCTTGTATACGAAGCTATCCACATAACGATTAATTGGTCCTTATACATATACAACAAATTTGCTGCGGAAGGGGAGTCCAAACTCCAAGTATACCCCGACCGGGGACCAAAACAACGGGCGGCCAAGGGCAAAGGAAAAGGTAAAGGTAAAGGCAAGAAAGGTGGAGAGAAGGGCAAAGGAAAAGGGAAACGAAACCAGGACAACCAGGAGGGATAGATCCCGGGCGGAACCGCCTACTCAGGCAGGGAGGGTACACAGGTTTGAGGGAATCCACCCCAGTCAAGTCTCCCCATATACCCCCCTGATAGTACAACCGCAGAACAGGTGGGCGGATCTCCTACGTGGAGCCCCCAAGGTTTACGCCTGTTTATTGGGCAGGCGTCACGTTTCTGCAGTACCTCAGGGTCTCAATAGTAATAATAAGTCAGATTATCCACACTATCGGTAACGGATATGAACCCGGATCAATCTTGTCAACCCACTGCTTCCTCTCTGTTTCCTGGCGTGATCGCTTTTTTCTCTCCTCTTTCTTCTGTCCTTTCTTCCGGTTCTAGGTATGTTGGTGTTTTTATTTTTCCTGGGACCTCCATCGAGTCTCAAAATTTCAGATTAATTAGCTACACCCGGGTAAAGGAACACGGCATAAGAAATGAGACATAGGCCAATAGGAACCAACCGATCACATGCATTCGGTTTCAAATTACTTGCCCTCTTAATGGTTACTCGTATTACAGGATACCAACCAGTGCGAGGTCGACGCGCCCATGGCATTTCGTTTACTTCACAAGGACTTCAAGCATGTTGTGGCTACCTTCGTCGCGCACATCATCATTATTATCATCCCCATCGTATGGCGGCGATATAGAAAGTCACATCAGGTAGTAAAATGTCATATCAAAGAAAAAAACACCATGGTATAACCTTTTTTATCTATAATTAGAAATTTAGTTAAAAATAGCCGAAACATTACACACAACGATAATTTTAAAAACCACAAATTAATACAAACAAATTCTCGGCAGTTATTCCTATTAAATTTAAAAATATTATATTAATGTTCTGCGTCGCGCGACCACATCAAACCCCCTATTAGTATAGCCTCAAATTTCTTGCAATGCAAATGGGTTAGTTATAGCAAATCCTATTAATAAGGCTATAATCTAGTATAATATAAGGATATAGAGGCCCTTATTTTCCACAGCCAAATTATGCCAAATCTATGGTTGGCGCGATATACTTCAAGGTCATGGGCAGTTCTCAAAAAGTTTGTTGTCCTATCCATCCAGGCAAACAAGCAACAGGAGCAGCATGCAGTAACAAACAGCAGGCAAAAAGCAAGCAAGCAGCAAGCAGCAAGCAAGCCAGCAAGCAAGCAACAAGCAACAAGCAACAGCAACAGCAAGCAGCAGGCAAGCAGTAGCAGGCAAGCAGCAGCAGGCAACCAGCAGCAGGCAAGCAGCTGCAGGCAAGCAGCAGCAAGCAAGCAACAACCAGCGTTTATCCCCTTAAAAAAATAAACAAATATAAGGCTTTAAAAATCGACACAATACTAAAAATTATTTTTTTTTCCAAGTACGTAGCCCTAAAACAATAAAATCGTTTTATATTCAATTCCAGATCAGTATTATAAGTATTTAGTAATTATTCTAATTATTCCAAATTAGAATCTATATTTACAAAAATTATCCATATATAGAGTAATCTCCCTAATTATCCTAGAGAAATTACCCCAATAAAGAGATTATATATTCGTTTATAAAGCAGATTCTAACCTAGGCGGGCGATGGCTCTTAGGCAATGTCATTTTTAGGTCAAATCCAATATACTGGTGTTCATTGGATTGTTTAAAAATAATACATATATACCCAAAGTCTGCCAAACTCAACGTATGAATATATCTCAAAGCTACATACATGATTCCGGTCGCTTCGCATTCCACTCCTTTTTCAAGTTTTCTGCCAAAGCCGTCATCTCCTTTCACCAGAGGCTCTCCTCCGGTTTGTCTTAGATATGTCACAGAAGTAACACGTGCACAACCCCGGTCAATATCACCACTAACCAGTGGTGAACCCCCCAGGTTGGAACCTGTACCCACAGGAATCACACAATGCACTGTCCACTCGCCCGAGGCATTACAAATAGTTGTTCAAAAGGAAACAAAAGTGACTGCAAAAAGACGGTTGAAAGGCACGACGAGTGGAATACGAGCCCATGGCGCCGCCACCATGAGTCTTCAAAACCCAGGCGACTAATATCGTTTGCCGATTTGCGCTTGCTCTGCACGTGCTCCCAATGAACTTGGGCGTGTAGGGCTAACAGAGCAAGTGGCGGATTAAAATGATTAAGCTTTGCAAGGTCAGATTCCCGGAATGGGCTCTCACTAGTGGCATGACCGCAGCAACGTTATCCAATGACCAAACCCCACATCGATGGCGAAAAAGAATATGCCGCTCAACCAGGGTGTAGAAAACCAAAGATAGCGCCGACTGCTCGATGTGGTTCACAGCTGGTTGGCACTGTTGTTACAGCTCCTCGCAGTTGGTGGCCACAAAGCCCAATCAACGTTGAATGCCGCTTGGCTGAAACAAGATCCGGTGGATCTGCCAGATCTTGGAAGGTCCTGCTCAGCAGCGCCGGAGCAGCGAGGAAACCGCCACCTTAAAACAGGAAAACTGTGGGAGGGAACTCTTCCAACTCAGAAGTGGTAGGGACAATGAATGGGGAATGCAGAATCTCAACACCACGCATCCAACACCTGTAGGCTGCAATTGGATCCCCTCCATTGGCCAGCCTCGCCACATGCTCCTTGAGCTCGATGAAAGCCGCGGCATCAAGGATCTAGGCCTGAGTAACCATGGGCACATCGATCCCAGGGAGAAGGTGGGAGATCCAAGGTCACCCCTTGGGAACCTCACCTACTTAGCCAAGGTCGCCCCTTGGACTACTGTAAGCCCTGACTTCACCAAGGTCAGCCCTTGGAAAACAAAATAATGAATGCCTTTTTGGGTCAACTCCAAACTTGAGCCAAAATGATGGCATTCATTGGATAGCATAAAGATGACACATGCACACCCAAAGCTTGCCAAGCTCAATGCATGAATATATATATATAGATAGCTACAAAGTCTAATTTTTCAACATCTATGTATGTTTCATGATATAACTATAATATACTATAATATCAAATATATAATATATCTAATATGTAGTTTTTTGAAGTTCGTGGTTTGACCATATTCGAAGTAAAGTAGTTTCGGTCGGTATCTCCAGTGGTCCTTCAACAGCATTCAGATTATATTTGCGCCTCAGAGTTTGCCAGAAAAATGAATAACACTATTTCCTTAAGATGAAAAAAGATGAATAGCAATTCAGATTGTATTTCCTTAAGATTCCGAAAGTCTTTCTGCACCAGGCCGAAGTTCGCATGAAGTTTCTGAAAAGATCTTCTGAGGTTCCAGCATCTCGTCACGAAGTTTTTGGAATGGTGGCTGTCCTGTAATCTCATTCTGGACACGGAATTATATGGATGCCCTGGTGCCCAAACTCTACTGTGCACACTAGGTGCTAGCAGTTTAAGTCCATAATTCATATGCGAAATATTCACCCATACTTCTTCGCTAAATCTTTGATCATCTGTGAATCATCTCTTGCACTAGATTTCGAGGTTGGAATGTCCTTGCATTTCCGTTACATCACGGTGCAGCTTGAATCGTGCTTTGCATTAAGAGTCTATGTCTATGTCTTCAAATGCCTGTTGGTGACATGTCAGATTGTAAGAAACCTCAAAAACAGGGCAAACAAGTCGAAGACTTCCTTTTTCACCTTGGGAAGAGGAACATCAGCTTCGGACTTATCAGATTTGCCACAGCCCCAGGCCCCATCCCCCGACCAAGCGTGGGAAGCAGCTCTCGAAGGGCATCTTGGCCCTGAAAAATGATGCCATGACGATCCAAAACTATGACAAGACAACGAGGATACCTGGAATCCGGAAAGTCAAAATGACTACGAGAATTATATTTAAACTCAACTTACAGCAGAGCAAAGCATATATAGTAACCAAGAGAAACAGCAAAGGCAACAGCAACAGCAGGAGCAGCAGCAACAACAACAACCAACGACAACCAACGACAGCCAACGACAACCAACAAGCAACAACAAGCAACAACAAGCAACAACAAGCAACAATAAGCAACCACAACAACCACAACAACCACAACAACAACAACAACAACAACCACAACAACCACAACAAGCACAACAAGCACAACAAGCACAACAAGCACAACAAGCACAACAACCACAACAACCACAACAACCACAAGGACCGCAACAACAACAACAACAACCAACCAACCAACCAACCAACCAACCAACCAACCAACCAACCACCAACAACCAACAACCAACAACCAACAACCAACAACCAACAACCAACAACCAACAACCAACAACAAAAAAACCAACAACCAACAACCAACAACAACCAACAACCACAACCACAACCCCAACAACCGCAACAACCACAACAAGCACAACAAGCACAACAAGCACAACAAGCACAACAAGCACAACAACAACAACAACAACAACAACAACAACCACAACCACAACCACAACAACCACAACAACCACAACAATCACAACCACTACCACAACCAACACCACAACCAACACCACAACCAACACCACAACCAACACCACAACCAACACCACAACCAACACCACAACCAACGACCACCGACCACCGACCAACGACCAACGACCACCGACCACAACCACAACCACAACCACAACAACAACAACAACAGCAACAGCAACAGCAACAGCAACAGCAACAGCAACAGCAACAGCAACAGCAACAGCAACCACAACAACCAAAACAACCACAACAACAACCACCACTGGTCATGTTCACAATCATTGTGAAGCACAAACAAAGACGTACACATGGGATCTGAGAAAATGACAATTTCAAAAAGAAAGAATCTGTGCGACTCTAAAGAATGCATTTATATCTCATGTGTGTGGAAATCATGTTTAAATATGTCCCATCTTAGACACCCTGCATTTTTTGAACCTGATTCTTAAGAAATAAAGTACCAAGAAAATAAAACTATCAAGCTACCCATCCAAGGTGTCCCTTGACCTGACCCCCCGTGCTGTGCGGAGCCTGATGTTGAACAGTTGAGTCCAGCACGCCGCAAAGACCTTCCAAGCAGAGGTGGCATCAAGAAGGCCAGAAATGCCAGGTGAGTGGGAAATTTGGAGTTGAATTATGTTGAAACAATATGCATTTTTTTGTGTCAACCTGCTGGTCATGCAGGCGAAGCATAAGTATCAGAAAGGTTTCGTTATCAATCATGGCTTCTCACTTGAAAGATTCTACAAACATTGTTGGCGTCCATTAGATTGCATTCCACCGTACTGCAAAGATTTTATGACTGGATCACCAAGCCAAGGCACTTTGTAGCCTCTGTGCGCGTTCTTGTGGCGAGACACTCTCGCCACAAGCACGCAACAGAACCTGGCTGCCTCACATGGGCCGGGGAGCCATGGGAACTGCCAGAAATAGACTGGTCATTTTGAACGGTACATCATTGAAAGTTTTCAACACCTAAGTTTGAGCTGCACCCACTTGGCTTTTACAGTTGACTGGCTCTCCTGCGAGGCAAGAAAATTTGAGAGAAAGAGAGAATTGTTGCAACTTCTGGCAAACTTATCTATATCCATCTCTATCTATATCTACTTCTAGCAAATGTGCAGAATGTATACATCAATTTCATTCAATTTCCACCTTTTCGAAAATTTAACAGCTGTAAATCTTTTCCAATATCTTTAGCATTACAATACATTACATTTATTTCACCCAGTTTGAACCAATGCTTTTCCACAAACGATCGCCTTCCAGGGCTTCATTTGCAATGAGACCTGAGCTGTGGCTGAACTGGAAAGAAAATATTTGGGAGTATTCCCCCTAAGGACTCCCCCTAAGGATTCCTTGCTGTTTGAGGAGAACACCCTCCACTCCAAGTGATCAATCAGGGTTTACTATTCAAGGCTTAACATGTCTTATCATTACCTTCAATGGGACAAGCCACCTATCAAAGTATTGGTATCTCATCACCAAGAACTAGAGAGACATGAACCGGCCAAATCGGTTGCACCATTAAAACATCTACTTTAGTAATTAACAAAACAAACATGTTTCGCTGGGCAGCGGCCTAAAATACCCCGTGTGCAATAGTTTAGTAGTAGTTGTAGCTGGGTAGTAGATACCACCCGAAACTTGCAAAGCATCCAACCAGAAAACTACCCCTTCACCAAGGTATATCAAACATCTCCAATGGGGAAAAGGTGACCATGGGAAACCAAGGGACAGGCTTCGATCACAGAACAGAACTGATTGAAGCGCACCAGCCCACCTGTCAGATGGGAGAGTCCTTTGTTCAAACTGAAAGGATGTAATGTCTGAAGCAGTGGTGATTAACGATTATATATATATATATTTATTTAATATATTTACTAATCATCATTCACGGTTTCTCTGAAAATGGGGTATGCCACAAAATAGAGAACATGATGGCAGATCACTGGATTTGGGGATACCCTTTTTCCAAAGCCAAATTGGATTCATCCACTCCCTGTCCAGAATCTCAATTGAAGTGAAGCACTTGCAATAACGCCGCAACATGAACGTCAACCAGCACAACCATCACTTAGGGGCTAGATCCTCCATTTTGTCCCCACCATCCAATGGTTTATCAGTTCTTTACACCTTGGCGTCTTGGCTGGATTTCTGTTGGTGATGGCCCATTTTTCACCATTTCAATCATTTGTGTTTGTTTTAATCCGATCTTTTAACTATAGTGCCATGTTTAGATCGTATTTCTGTTGGTTATACTATTATTCACCACATTGTTATAGTTGCTTCTAGTTTCTGTAACCTACAAAAAACATCGGAGAATCATTCATCACACTTTTGGAATCGTTTTTTCCCCACCTGCCAGGTGAGGGTTGTTAGATTTTATCAGAGTTGTTCTCCTCCTCGGCTAGCTGTCCTCCTCCTCGTCCTCCTCGTCCTCCTCCTCATCCTTCTCCTCCTCCTCCTCCAGTTTCTCCTCGACCATGTCTGCATCAACTTCCACCTGCACTTCCGCCTTGCCAACTCTTCGCCAAGCTCTTTGCCAACTCTTTTCGCCAAGCTCTTTGCCAACTTCCCAGCTCAGTGTGCACCGCTGGACCTCAACCTGGGACCTTCCCAGCTCAGTGTGCACTGCTGGACCTCAACCTGGGACCTTCCCAGCTCAGTGTGCACTGCTGGACCTCAACCTGGGACCTTCCCCAGCTCAGTGTGCACAGCTGGACCTCAACCTGGGGCCTTCCCAGCTCAGTGTGCACCGCTGGACCTCAACCTGGGACCTTCCCAGCTCAGTGTGCACAGCTGGACCTCAACCAGGGACCTTCCCAGCTCAGTGTGCACCGCTGGACCTCAACCTGGGACCTTCCCAGCTCAGTGTGCACCGCTGGACCTCAACCTGGGACCTTCCGAGCTCAGTGTGCACCGCTGGACCTCAACCTGGGACCTTCCCAGGTCAGTGTGCACCGCTGGACCTCAACCTGGGACCTTCCCAGCTCAGTGTGCACCGCTGGACATCAACGGCCAGATAGAATGACAGAAGATATGCCAGATAGAATGTCAGATAGAATGCCAGAAGATATGCCAGATAGAATGCCAGAAGATATGCCAGATAGAATATCAGAAGATATGCCAGATAGAATGCCAGATGGTATGCCAGATAAAGTGCCAGAATGTTTGCCAGATAAAGTGCCAGAAGATTTGCCAGATAGAATGCCAGATAGGATGTCAGAAGATTTGCCAGAAGATATGCCAGATAGAATGCCAGAAGGTATGCCAGATAAAGTGCCAGAATGTTTGCCAGATAGAATGCCAGAAGATTTGCCAGATAGGATGTCAGAAGATATGCCAGAAGATATGCCAGATAGAATGCCAGATGGTATGCCAGATAAAGTGCCAGAATGTTTGCCAGATAGAATGCCAGATAGAATGTCAGAAGATATGCCAGAAGATATGCCAGATAGAGTGCCAGAAGATCTGCCAGAACAGATTGCAGAAGATATGCCAGCTAGAATGCCAGAAGATATGCCAGATAGAATGCCAGAAGATATGCCAGATAAAATGGCAGAAGGTATGTCAGATAGAATGCCAGAAGATTTGCCAGTAACAAAATGTATAAATGTCATGGTGGGGATAACTCGAAGTAAAGTAATTTGTCTAACCATCTCCTGTTTGTGGGTTGCTATAATTCATCCGTATCTTTTCTCCGTCCCCTGGGGCCTTCCGTGGCCGCCCGCAACTGCTCCAGCAGCTCCTGCTGGAGCTCCTGCGGCAGCGGTTGCAGCGAGGCCAAGTGGCGGAGGAAGGTCTCGCAGACCTGGCACAGGAGTTCCTCAAAATTAGTATATAATTAGATATTGGAAGATATATAATGGTTGTTATATAATGGTTGTTTAATTGTTATATATTACTAATCTAATTAGTATAAATTGTTGTAATATATACCAATTATTAACAATATTAGTAATTAACAATTATTAACAATTATATAATTAGATTAGTAATATATAACAATTATTAACCTCAATGGCCATCTCAGGAACCTAAATTGGAGGTACCTACCATATATAAGGCCTATTTTTCAGGCCTATGTAAGGGGATAAACCCCAAAAATATGGCCTTATATGGTACAGTACCTCCATTTTAGGATCCTGGAATTCCCATTGAATATAATAATCCACTAGGAGATATCAATCCACTAGGATATAGTAACATATATTATTAATACCAATTAGTACCGTCAACTATCCATCCGTGTATGTATATAAATATATATATATATATCCATTAGTATAGGTATATCCATGAGCTAGTACCATCAATTACTTAATATCCATGAGTTGAGATACATAATAAGTATGTCGATATGCTTAGTCTAATGGGTATATGGACACACCCTAACTAATATCTATAGATATCTATAGTCTATAGTCGATACATATCTGTGCTTACTAAAAATAACTTACTAGTAACTTTCAAGCAGTGCTACTTTATTGATAGTATATACATATACGTCCATTCATGTCGATACTGGTATATAATGGTATATATATATATACACCCTATATGTAGAAGGTTTCACACCATTTGATAAATTGGCTCCATTAAAATAGAGTATATGCATACTTGATTAGCATCTATATCTACATATATATACTTGTGTATATACAATATATAAACCACCAACTAATCCGCCGGCCAGCGGGCGTGTTTTGTGGATGTTCTTGCGATACATCTTGTGATAGCTTTAGCTGCACCTTTGATTGTTCCTTCGACAGATTGTTGCTTTCGCTGCCCTACCCCCCTCCCCTACATTGACACTATAGTCTGGTATAGTCTAATATGGTCTCGTATAGTCTAGTATAGCCTAGCATAGTCTAGTCTCGTCTCGTCCCTTTTTTCAAGCAACCTAGCACTGACCTTATTTACATCATCATCGTCTTGGCGGTCACCGTCATCATCATCAATCTCATCATCATCATCATCATCATCATCATCATGACCACCATCGTCTTTATCATCATTATCATTTTCTTCTTCTGTTTTCTTCCTTCATCCTCCTTCATCCTCCCATGTCCGTCTTCTCTTTCGTTCCTCTGGCTCGCCCCTGGGATGCTACATTTTTCCACGATTTCTCCATTGTTTTACGGCCCGGTCTCGCAGCTGGGATGCGGCATTTTTCCACGTTTCTAACCTGCCGCTTTTGCGCCCAACGCTTTCCGTAAGCACTTCCCACTCCTGCTCTTCCTCTGCGCTCACGGCCTTCTCCGCATGCACTCTCACAGCCATGCCACTTGCATCTACCAACTTGACTCCTTTCTGTTCAATCTCCAAGGTCTTGCACACACCAGCTTCTACACAAACCAACCTTTACACCAACCAGCTTTTACACAAACCCGCTTTTACACAAACCAGCTCTTACACAGACCAACTTTTAGACAAACCACATTTTACGCAAACCACCTTTTACACCAACCAGCTTTACACAACCCTTGCTTTGAGCCTGTAGGCCAAAGGCCAGAGGGCCGACAGAATGCCGAAGGCTGTTAAATAGTTAATAATCTGATAAACATACAAGGGGTTGCTATATTACTTCACCAACAGAACTGGGGATATCGCCAATTTGAGGGGTTGAGATTGTGCGGTCAAAACTGGCTGCCCCAACAACAGGCACTTGGGAAGGCCTGATGTTGTACCGCGTCTGTCTTTGGACGCTTCAAAGTCATGAAGGCTGAGTGCAGCTGATCCTGTCCAGAAAACTCAGCGAAAAATCCACCCAACTCAGCGACTGGACTGGCTCCTGTTTTGCCAAGAAGTGCCGGACTAACTAAACTAGCATCAACACAGTGTACTGACCTCCGAACCACAGGAGGGCTACAGCTGGGTTTGAGAATCCAAGCTCCTCAAAGCATTTCCGCGATCGCGGACAAGCATTCCTTGGATCTACAGCACGAGCAGCACGCTGGGTAATTTCTTCATTTGCACTGCCTTCTGAAGATGCTGAGTTTGAGAACCAGGGCTAAATACTGTATCATGCAAGCACTGACATGTTTGTCTCTATCTCCGCAGCGCTAAGAACCATTTCTGGACCGCACCACAATGCTTCATTCCATTATGATACTCCGGCTTCAGTCACCAACGGGTCTGGACCTTCACTTGAACTTGAATTCGTCAAGAGATCCCGAAGAAATACGAACTCGCTCCATCCGGGCAGTAATTTTGCTCAGGCTCAGCAAATATGCCAAGCTTTCCAAGCTATCAGGGTCTGAAACTCGACGAAAATGTGCCAATAGGAACCTAATGCTTGGAAACACATGATGCAGGATGGGATTTGTAGTGGTTGCAGAGAATCGAGTTCAACGAGTTCTTGAGACTTACTTTTACTTCAAGTAAACTCTTGGAATTGGGTCTGAGTCAATTGTTTAACCCCAAGCACCGGAAAAAACAGAGAATGTTACAGTGAAAATGGCCATTCATAGTTAATTTACTAATTAAAAATTGTGATTTTCCAGTTATGTTACTTTACCAGAGCGTAACCCATTTGTATCCATTTGTATCCATTTGATTCCATTTGTGGGTTCATTGGTACCCTGTGGCTCCATTGTTTATTTCGATTCCGAGCTGCTGCAATGGATTGGCTGGGCGTACTTCCAGCAACGCACTCAGGGCATCCCTGAGGCACTGCAACAGCTCAGGGACATGGGCCGCGTCTTTGTCCGTATGTGACATGGGTCAAGGTACCATTCGGGTACGGATGTCATTATGGCTGGTCATTTCAGGTATGAAACTTGTATTGAATCATGTAAATTATTGTAAATTAAGGTACCAATGGAGTATTCAACTTAAAGTGACCATGTGTGTTTTGTAGTCAAGGATTTTGACCCCTACCCACATGACCGATGCTTTTGAATCGTGAAGCTAGCCGCATCGCCTTGAACCAGATGCTGTTCACAATCTTCCAAACTACAGTACAGCAAGCTTAGCTCAGAAATCGCTGCCGTCAGTTTCTTAAACAGGAAAAGCCTATGGCACGATGGGATTTCGTGGCGTGGTGTCCTGTAGATCTTCGCCCTTTTAAAGCCACGGTTCGGTTCCCGTGAGGTCCAGTGGCATCCCAGTGGCATTTTGGTGGCCGATGGACAAGCTGTGAATCTTTCCCACCAAGCAGTTGTGAAACGGCGGAACTCCCCTATTTTTGATGGTAAGTCAGCAAGTCATACCACGTTTGCAGAATACTGGTGTATGTGTATATCTATCTATCTATCTATCTATCTATCTATCTATCTATCTATCTATCTATCTATCTATCTATCTATCTATCTATCTATCTCTCTCTCTGTCTATCTATCTATCTATCCATCCATCCATCCATCCATCCATCCATCCATCCATCCATCCATCCATCTCCATCCATCTCCATCCATCTCCATCCATCTCCATCCATCCATCCATCCATCCATCTATCTATCTATCTATCTATATATATATATATGCGCATGATATACATTGTGTATATATATATGCATATGTACATATGTAAATATGTAAGTATGTAAATATGTAAATATGTAGGTATGTAAATATGTAAATATGTAGGTATGTAAATATGCAAATATGCAAATATGTAAATACGTAAATATGTAAATATGTATGTGTATAAGTATGTAAATGTATGTGTATACAGTATACATATATGTATATATATATATATGAATGGATTCGTGCACTATTGTATATGTTTGAAGAGTATGTGTACATTCCCCATGTTTCTCCAGATTTTTGGGGTTTGCTTAAGGAACCCCCAATAAATAGGTGGATTTCCTGGGATGAACCATCCTGCAGCCGCCTTTTTAGGACACGCCTTTGGGATCCCAGCAGAACTTTTGTCCTTCACCCAGCTCCTTAGATTTGTTGCCGTGGTCTTTTTTTGGGAGAAAGCAACACGGATGGTCCCTGAGGAGACCTTGTTTTGGTTGGTCAATAGCTTGATGCTTACCTATCTTGATGGAAGAATATGGAAGAATATCGTCCAAACGCAAGGGAAAGTGTTGGTATGTCCAAGACTTGAGAAAAACACGACTTCCGTGCTGAATCAAAATGGATCTGAATTTGGGAAAACCAAGTGGTATGCCATCACAGGATCATACCTTGGCTTCAGGAAGATTGACGTTTAGAACATTTTTCACAACACAGCTGCAGCTTGAGATGGTTGGAACATGTTGGAACACTGCCAAGCTTCTGAAATGCTTCGCATATGTTCTTCACTTAACTCAAAGTCGAAAATGTCAAAATTCTCTTGAATCCGCGCTGGCTTGCTGCTGCGAGGGATGACCATAAAGTCCTGCCCAGCGTTCATGCTACCTGGCTATTTCATGCTATTTCCACATGTGCACAACAAGCAGAGTCTCATGGATTTGTAGAAGCATGTCAAGCTTTGTACATCTTTGTACTATGTACTACCGAACCCTCCTGCTGAAGGGCCCAACGAAGTAGCACCTGCGCTGTTGTCTTGCCTGTCTCTTCTGACACTTTCTGCACTGAGGGGTGTGTCAGCAGCAACCTGACAAATGGGTCAATTTCAAAGGCCCCTAGCCAAGCCGCCTAGTTTTTGGGATACCTGGGATACCTGTTTGTTCGAACTTCATTCCTATGATTGTTGTGCGAACCTCCGTGGTTGTTTCAATTCCAATGTTAGGTGTTCAATTTTTGGCTTTACTGGCTGATTTTGTTGGTTGACTAGCCATGGTTCTTGGCCAAATACTCGCATGTGTTCAATGGATGGGCCCAGAAAATCCACAGGAAACCCTTGTGACTTCCAATTCGCCGAATCCGCAGAACATCTGCCGTCGGAACCTGGTACCATCCACTTCTCCGTCGGAAGCTCTGGCAGCATTGCTGGCACTGCCACCACCAAGTGGAGAATAAGCCTCGCTGCTACCAGCGGCACTTCAAGCAATTTCCTTCGATGCATGGGGCATGCTAAGCCTTAAAACCAATCTGCTAAGGACAATGATTACTCTAAAGGTAGTAAGAGTAAGAATAAGAAGAAGAATAACAATGATATATCATAATAGATCAATGTCACAACAGTATGATAATGATGATAAATCATGGTGTTTTCAGTTCCTTCCAAGCAATTCCTTCCCAGGAGGATCGCCTCAACGACAATGCCGTGCTTGCGGCAGAAGTCGATGGTCCTGATGGCGCAACGTGAGAAATGGTGACTACCTCTGAACCTCCGAGGTCATGTTCGCCATTTTTACTCCAATTTGGTATATACCATTTCTAAACTCCCAAATTCATATCGATAGTTATATATATATATGCACCATCAATATTCCATGAAAATATCCCCTAGATTCCCATGTTTCATGGTGAAACCACCATTGTTTAACATGTTTGACTATCTATCTTGGTTGTACCCACATGTTGGCAAAAGTGGCCCCGTCAAAAGCGTTGACGCTTTCTTCAGCTCGGTCTCTCTTTGGGCTGATAAAGTGGGTGCACTTCCTCGACAGCGCTGCCCCGTGAATAGATGGAGAATGATAGCTATGGTGTATGGTGAGAAAGGATATTCTAAGGCAATGATGTATAGATTTATTGATTACTGGTGATTAGATGTCGTGACAGATGTATAGAATTGACAAGGTACATGCACTTGATCAATTTTGGGATATGGAAGATATGGAGGTAGATTTAAAAATTAGCCCTTCATGTAGATGTTCATGTAAAAACAAACAAAACAAACAGGTCGGTTACAATGTTTATGTATTGTATCATATTGTATCTAACTAGGCGGCCGTCTACCTACCTACCTATCTACCTACATCTACATACATACCATTACATCACATCACATCACGTTACAGTACATTACAGTCCATTGCAGTACATTGCAGTACATTACAGTACATTACAGTACATTGCAATACATTCTGGCTGTACATTACAGTACAGTACATTACACTACATTACAGTACATTGCAGTACTTTACAGTACATTACAGTACATTGCATACATACATACATCTATATACATTCATTAACATCTACAGGTACTGTATATATGCACGATACGATGTATGTATACATGTACAGTAAATATGATTCTTCGCAAACATGTCGTTGATTGTTGCCTCGCGAAAAAACAAATCAATAGAACATCCCCCATGTCCACTTCAAGGCCTGACTTTCAGGAAATGTGCATGAGACATCATGAGACATCGGAAATTCCTTGGGCGCTCTTGCTCTTGTCCAGCTTCAATCTGGTTCACCATTGGCAACATGTCAATACCATCCTGCGGATCTCAGAATACCGGCTGATTCCCCGTTGACAAAGCCATCCTCATTGGTCAAATCGCCATTCTTGATGGTTAAAGTCACTAGGTTTCATTGAAATCCCCATTTGCAGACATACCCATATATCGAATACATAGATATAGATATAGATACTAGATATTAGATATAGACATAGATTCATATCCCACATTATACTCCTATTATATACCTCCCCTCGTGCACGCAGCCTCTATGAGCTGCTGAAGGTGGCTGGCAGTGAAGTTGCTGACCCCAATGGCACGCACCAGCTGTTGCCTGCGGCGGGGCAGGGAAGGTGCACGTTGCATGTAAATCTGTAGACATATCTATATGATATATGTGAGATTCTAAATACATATACATATCTGCACACATGAATATATATATATGTATGTATGTATGTATGTATCTATGTATCTATGTATCTATGTATCTATGTATGTATGTATGTATGTAGGTATGTAGGTATGTAGGTATGTAGTACGGTATGTAGGTATGTAGGTATCTAGGTATCTAGGTATCTAGGTATCTAGGTATCTAGGTATCTAGGTATCTAGGTATCTAGGTATCTAGGTATCTAGGTATCTAGGTATCTAGGTATCTAGGTATCTAGGTATGTAGGTATGTAGGTATGTAGGTATGTAGGTATGTAGGTATGTAGGTATGTAGGTATGTAGGTATGTAGGTATGTAGGTAGGTAGGTAGGTAGGTATGTAGGTATGTAGGTATCTAGGTATCTAGGTATCTAGGTATCTAGGTATCTAGGTATCTAGGTATCTAGGTATGTAGGTATGTAGGTATGTAGGTATGTAGGTATGTAGGTATGTAGGTATGTAGGTATGTAGGTATGTAGGTATGTAGGTTTGTAGGTATGTAGGTATGTAGGTATGTAGGTATGTAGGTATGTAGGTATGTAGGTATGTAGGTATGTAGGTATGTAGGTATGTAGGTATGTGGGTATGTAGGTATCTAGGTATCTAGGTATCTAGGTATCTAGGTATCTAGGTATCTAGGTATCTAGGTATCTAGGTATGTAGGTATGTAGGTATGTAGGTATGTAGGTATGTAGGTATGTAGGTATGTAGGTATGTAGGTATGTATGTATGTATGTAGGTAGGTAGGTAGGTAGGTATGTAGGTATGTAGGTATGTAGGTATGTAGGTATGTAGGTATGTAGGTATGAAGGTATGTAGGTATGTAGGTATGTAAGTAAGTAAGTATGTATGTAATGTAATGTAATGTAATGTAATGTAATGTAATGTATGTATGTATGTATACGTCTACATAGATGTATAATATATATATATACATACATACTGTAGTATATATATATATATCAGCATACGAATATCATATGAAACTCTGAATTGTTGGCAGGGTTGATATCGGAGCTACTGCAAAACTCCTGATGACCAAAAGGTCTGCCCGAGTTTGCAGACCGTGTTTACACACTTCAGATTCAGAAATACAAACAGCAGAGGTCAACTGAATTTTGGATTGTGTAATCTGAACTATCCTACCAGCCAAAGATGCACTACTGAAAAAACACTTGAGTCAAAGAATCCAGCAAAATTACAATTTTAGTTGTGGGAAGGCGCAACTCTAGCATCCATTCCAGATGTGGCAGGTAACTGATCTGTGAAAGGAGATGGCTCAAAGCGTAGTCATGTATATCGCTGTTGCTCAACAGCACCTCCTAAAAAACTTGCACATATGTATGTATATTATATATATATATATTACATACAAGTACATTACATAAAATCCATTCATCGATGAGATCCTTGTGTTTTATCGTATTTTCCCCTGCCTGTAGAGTTCCTCCAAGGCCTTCCAGGTCTCATGTCGTGCGCGGCGATGCAGCGGCGAAGCGTGCGGTTTCTTGGGCAAGGCCTCAGCACGACGGACGGAAACCCCGCATCTTAGATATCTAAAACTACTTGTGTGTACTAGGTATACATGTATGTGTGTATGTGTGTGTAATGTGTATACATATATATATATTATGTATGTGGTTAATGTCATTGTGGTTCTTGGATACAGGTTTTGGACCCAAGCCGTCTCGATCTGGTGAAGAAGCCTAGCACTGCAAGTCTTTTTAGAGCATTTCCCTGGAACATGTCCGGTATTTTGTATATCCTACAGTTTCATAAATGATTCAAGCCTTAGAATGGAACAACAGAAGACATTGTAAAACTATATCATAATATACATCACCCCTGCAAAAAAATGCTAAATTACAATTCACTTTGCAGAACTTTACAAACTTCTATCTCTTTCAAGGGGTTGCTATACTCCTATTCCAGATCATCTCCATTACTCATTGCTTGCATCTATATCACATTCATATATCCCAATATCCCAATATCCCATTCATATATGCTGGTTATATCTCTTGACTTATATTGGCAAATTGGTTATATAATTATATTATATACGTTGCATATACCAACTATATACATCCACTATTGATTCCCCCCAAAAAAAACACTGGCCACCCTCGCAGTTCGAAGTCTTCGACACGGGCCAGTGGATCAAGTACAAGTCCAACTGGCGAAGGCCTCAGTTGGAACCAACGGAAGGCGTCCCTGTAGGATGAGGTCTGCGGCTTTGGTGAGGTATGTTTGCGTTTTAAAACATTTATGCGTATGTGTATGTATATATATATATACATGTATATATATATAGAGAGATACATATATATATATATATATGTATCTATATATATATATGACTCTTGCATCCGTCAGCCTTCCATGCCAAGGGACCCAATCGCTGGAGAGAGTTCCTGCACGCCTCTTGTGCTTTCTCATAGCCCATTTCATACGGTGAGCACTTGGACGTGACATAAACACCTTCGGCAAAGGCATGCAAGTGGGAAACACTCGCATACATTATTTGCAAATTATAATGTAGAGATATGTATAAAATATAATGTAGAGATATGTATACATACTACAATTCCAACAATTATGTAAGTAGATATCACTTATGTGGATATCATCACTTATATATAATATGTATATATAATATGTATATATAATATGTATATATATAATATGTATGTATATATATTATATGTATATATTGTATATATAATATGTATACATAATATGTGTATATATAATATGATATAATATGTATATATAATATGTATATATATATAATATGTATATAAAAATTGTATATATAATATGTATATACATATGTATGGTATGGATGTATAAATGACAAACAAGTGGCTGGGCACGTGTTTCCCCCGACTGCTGCCTTCGCCGGTCCAAGTCTGGAGTGCTCGGCCCACCGCGGCTTCATTCTTGTAGATCGAGGCGGTGTCGAAGAGGCGACATCCTGCAAGTCGAACATGGTCAAAAGGCCTTGGTTTCACTATTCAATGGATCGGTTTAAGGGAAAATTTACAGGAAAGCCCCATGTTTAATGGGAAAATCTATGGTTTCCTGTAGATTTTCCCTTAAACCAATCCATTGAACTATGAAAAATAGGGAAATCATATATGAAATAATGGGGATATGATGGGATAATACTGATGGGACATGATAAACAATATCTAACAGTTAACCAACGAAGTACAGAAGCCCACAAATAAAAAAGTGGCCACCGTGAGGGAATCCAATCTCATACCATCTGACTGCATGGCGCAGCATAACGCAGCCAGTACCAATCATGTCCTGCTTCCAAGGCAGCATGAACTGCGCCTTCCTGACATAGTCTCAACAAGGTGACAACAGATCTGGTAGCATCAGAACTGCTGGCCAAAGAAACCACAAATGCACCACTTCTCCAAAAAAAAAAGTACCCTCGCCAAGATTCACAGCTGGATGAACCTTCCTGCAGGGGGATTAAACCGGAAAGTCTCAAATTTCATCAGCGAATCTTGTGAGCAAAGAACGTAAGTAGAATGCAAAGTCTTGCATCGTTGAATATACTCGGACACGCATTTCCGGGTAGTCTGCATCTATGGCTGGTACACAGTGTAAATCTCCACCATATCTCAAGTTCATTGATTCCACATTGATGCTTGGTAATTCACCCCAACACTGGAATCTCAACCTGGAATTTCAATGCTACGACTGCTACGACCGGCACTTGGACTCTTCGATTCTTGCCTTGTCTGAGAGCTGCCATGTGCCCATACCCAGACGCGGGAGTTGCAGTCCATTCCGCAAGCTCAGACCTAGGATTATCAGCAGGGACGCGGTGTGAATTTGCGTTTCTTCATTGTGGCCGAGTGGAGAAACCATCTGACGATATTGCGAATCAGGACGTGTATCTATATATATACATGAATCTCAAAGTAGATGGCTCAACTCAAAAACCAAAATACCCATAAGATGGCACCGCGCGCTGAGAAAGAAAACGGCGCTATTTTAGCTGGAACATAAAACGAGTTCCGCCAATTGAAGAAAAAATGGCCCTACTTTAAAATGAGAAGGTAGATGGCGCAACTGCCACTCCAGTATATGGACATAAGGGTATTGTTAACTAAGTTTACTACATTTCCGATCATTTTTGTTTGTTTGTACTGTAGATTACACATGTCTGTATTGTAAATAAATCATATTATATATATATATAAATAAATGATTCACCTAGATCTTTTATCCTAAAACTGAGTTGCGCCATCTATGTCCCTTAAATCCCATTCAAACGCCAGAATTGTTGAGAAAATGGGGGAAACCAGCGCAGTGCCAATTTTCCACTTGGGTTCGCCCCGGAAAACGGACCCCACCAAGTGTCAAGTTTCCTTTGGGAAACTCAGGAAAAAGCTCTTTTTCGGGGAACTTGGTGGGGTCCGTGTTCCGGGGGCAAGCAAAGTGGCAATTGCCAGAGCGTAGAAGATTGAAAAAAATGTCATTTTTAGGGACATAGATGGCGCAACTCCCACTCATTCGCCAAAATCAGGCTGGGAATGCCCACATAGATGGCGCAACTCCCTCATATCTCCCGACATCCACCAACCAACCTAACCAAAATATGCCACATCGATCAGAGTTATGCCAAGACAGAAGTCAAAACCACCAGGAAAGACATCAGAGTTGTCCCAGGACAGGAGGCAAAACCACCGGGAAAGACATCAGAGTTGTCTTTTTTGGGACATAGATGGCGTAACTTCCGTCATTCTGCCAGCAAAGGTCGAGACGCTTTAAAACCCAATTTTAACAAGTGACCTGAGGAACCGTTTTTGCCGTCAAGAAACGGTTCCTCAGGTCACTTGTAAAAATTGGGTTTTAAAGCGTCTCGACCTTTGCTGGCTCAAAACAACTTCTGTCATTTCGCCAAAATCAGGCTGGGAATGCCCACATAGATGGCGCAACTCCGGGAGTTGCGCCATCTATGTCCCAAAAAGGCAGCTTGATGTTGAGAAAAAAATATGGGGAGAAACCAGCGCAGAAGATTGCAAAAAATATGTCATTTTTAGGGACATAGATGGCTCAACTGACCTGTTTTAAAGGGAGTTGAGCCATCTATCCCCCATTTTTTTTTGGACATAGATGGCGCAACTCAAGATTCTGAGCCATCTACTTTACGAGTATATATGTTATGTTATGGTATGGTATGGTATGGTATGGTATGGTATGGTATGGTATGTATGCATGCATGCATGCATGGATGTATGTATGTGTGTGGTATGCGTGTATGTATATGTATGTGTATGTATGTGTATGTACGTGTATGTATGTATGTGTATGTGTATGTTTATGTGTATATATATATATACATATGTACATATTTGTGTGTGTATGTATATATATACGTATATTACACAAATACATTTACACCACAAGGGTAAAACAGCTCCAATTTCAAGCTTCAGCGCGGTCAACATTGGGAACCCATGGATGTGGCTGTCACGAGCGAAATCGAGGTCCAAACTTCTGGATGAAGCTGAGCTGCCTTGAGCCTCTCATGACGTGAAATGGGGGTTTCTTTAAATGGGGGACCCCCAATACCATGCTCGTTTCAATACTAAAATAGTCTAATGTTGGATGATTTGGGGTACCCACATTTCAGGAAACCTTCAAATAGCATCAAATTTCCTTAGTGTCGTCAGTAGGTTTCCCAGTGACATCTAGTTCTGCTATGACAATGTGGTGAAAATGACCGAATCCAGGGCGGATACGTTCAGGTTACAGTAAATAGAAAACTCTGCCACAACGACAAGCCTCAAGTCGGTCTCAATGCCAAAGAAATATCCCGTTTGTTGGGACCTATGTCGTCGCAATTAGCATCTCAAGGCCCATTTTTTAAAAAACTAGGCATGCGCCGGTGCAAGTGGCCTTCATCAGGCCTTGCATCATTTCCAATCCAGGAGAATTTTCGCAACCTCTGGCAGATCAACTCTTGAGGGCATCACAACCGCCAAAGTAAAGCAGTCTTCGAAAGCGTCATTGCATTTTGCTGGTCAAATCGGGATTCCCAGAATATTCGCAATTTCGCAATGGATAATGATAATCCCCAACATATTGGATAGTATATAAACCCCCTAGAATCATCAACCAGCCACCATCTATCAACTATACCCCCATCTGTTTGATGGGTCAAAACCCTTATAAGCTATTCTTCAACCCCCCTTAATCCCCAGAAAAAAAATCGCTGATGTCCAATACACTCTGAGCCAACCACCCGCTGGTGTGAACCAAACCAAGCTAAAGCGATCGCCGTCAAAGGGCTTGGTCCAGTGCCTTTGGGTCCAACCGTTGAATTCCAACGGCTTGTACCTGTCGGTCGCTTCACAGTAGATCTACACAGAGGACGACTCACGCCTATGAATCCGACCTGGCAAAGAACTTAAATCATCATTTCCCGATGTTTTTCCTACAATAAATGGGGTTTTCTAGAACATCACCATACGAAATCGCCATGTTTTAACATCACCATAGCTACAGTTGGCAATAGCGACGTGTCCACCCAACAGAGCCTGCCTGATGTCATGCACTTCGTCCTCCACACAGAGCTCGCCGCCACTGTAGTCGCCCAGACCAACAATCAGAGAGATCCCCTGACCTGCTCAACAAATGCTGGGATACTGCTTGGAATGCTTGCGAATGGGATTGCCACTTCATGGATTCTGCTCATTCCCACTATAACTAGAGAATATGATCATAATAATATTATATATATATAATATTAATAGATATAGAATGATATAGAAGCACTTTGCCCAATCACAAAAACCTCAACCCCGGAATTATTTCGGCCTGCTCCAGCTCCGGAGTCGATGTGAGGCAGGAATTGAGCGCGTTTGTTGATGGCCTCGATTTCCCAGGTCATACCCTCTGGTAAACATACAAAAAGCTATTGAAAATGGCCATTTATAGTGAGTTTTCCCATGAAAAATGGTGATGTTCCATAGCTATGTTACCAGAGGGTAACCCATGAGTACAAAGCCATAGTTTAAGGGATCATCATTGAGTTCATGAATTCCAATAAACCAAGCTATATAGAAAGAAAAAAACAAACCAAAAACCCATGAGTGAGTTTTTAAGGCCCAAAATGGAAAGGATGAGTACCACCTTTTGAATCATGCAACTGGGTTTTTCAAACCAAGTCTTATCACCCTCCAGGGTATGCGGCTCTGCCAACGGAGCTGCAATGGTGCTACTGCACCTTCCTGGCTTCAATTCCCTCTCCAGTTCGAAGCACCGCATTGCCAATTCAGGGAAGAGCTTGGTGCCATTGGGAGCCTCGCAAGATGGGAAATCGACATCAGTGGCATCAAATGAGGTCACTGAATTAGAGTTCCAGTCATCAACCCTTCAGTAATGAAGCCTTGGTTGATGAAACAGGCGGGCGTTTATCGTTTTTGGTCGCAATTCGCGCAATTTTGAGGGACATCCTTACAATTCAACCAAAGCACCAAAGCGTTGTTATTCCAAGGTGGACACGGAAAAAAGCAGAACCCTGTCAATCTGAGAACATCTAGAACATCTATATAGAATTATATAGATGTCCCTCACAGATCATGACCCTGCCTCCATCGAAGCGGGCATTGATCCAACTGTGAAAGACCCATGAGTGCCTTCTGATGAGAGTTTGATCACCTTTTCCCTGCCCTGCCAGACTTTCATTGACCGTCGGGCCCTGTCGCTGCAAATCCTTCGATGTGAACAAAAATGGGGGAACAACAGAAGTCGGTCGTTTTGAGCGCCCCGTTTCGTGAATCAAAATGGCTATAGTACGTCTGAAAATTTAGGGGAAAAAAACAAATCCAATGGTTTACGTAGTATAATTTTCCCAATTTTTTGGGGCGAGGTGGGGTGGGCATCCCCAGTTTTAAACCAACCGTGGCCTTGGAACAAGCTGGCCACTTGCCACTCTGCTCTGCTTCGCGAAGTAGCCGAAGCACTTCAGCATACCTCTGCTGTTCTCAGTTGCTGTCAAGAAGTGACAAACAGCCAACAAAAACGTCTGAGTCTATAAACTGGATAATCTGGATAGACATGAAGAATCATTTGCTATTCTTTTCATGGGTGAATCTACAAATGTTCCATTGGTCCATAGCTAAATTAAATCACCATTTTGGGCAATTCATCTCAAAACCATCATCCTTCAGCACACCCAAAAACATGCAAAAACCATCAAAAACGCAGCTGAGATTCTTCGCAGGCACCTTGAAAAACCACAATGTGATCAAATTCGCAAAATTTGGATACTGAAAAAACTGAAGCTTATTCGCAGGTCCTAAGCATGTTGATCCCAAGTGCTGGCAATGCATCGCTTCGGGCGCCTTCTGTGAGTACCACTACCGCCAGCACTAACACGACCACAACGTACTAGTACATGGTGCAACAGCATATATACCCTTAAGGTGCCGGAGCCCTTCTTGCAACAAGTGCAACAATATATAAACCCTAATGTTGTCAAGGCACTTCTTACATTGAGATACATTGAGAGCATCATATAAACCCAAAAGGTGTCGTAGCTCCTTGAACATTAAGTGTACAACCTGTAAACCCTTAAGGTGTCGTAGCCCGTCGTAGAGCAAGTGTTTTCTTACAATAAGTGCAACAACATATATGAACCCTGAAGGTGTCGTGGCTATTCTTACATTAAGTGTAACAACATATAAATTATAAACCATAAACTCAAGGTGTCGTGGTCTTCTTACATTCAGTGCAATACATAAACCATAAAGTTGTCGTTGTCCTTCTTGCACTAAGTCCAACAACATATAAACCCTAAAGGTGTTGTAGCCCTTCTTACATGAAGTGCGCCAACACATAAACCTGAAAGGTATTGTGGCATGAAGAGAGCAAACGCAACAACATATAAACCCTAAAGGTGTCGTGCCCTTCTTACATTTGGTGCCCAAAGTGATGCGCCAATGGGTGCCTCCGCAACCATCTGGGACACCGCTGGTCCCTTGTAGAACTCTGCTGTCAGTGTGCGGGTCAAGGGCATCTGAGCGGTCACAAAAATATCTCCAGTTGCTGGGTACATGGTTGGAAAATTCTGGGTAACTTGGGGGTCAATGGTTGGGAAATGCTGGTGATTGCGACTTAGCTCAACACCAACTGGTCTTCAAACCACATGTCGAACACCTTGCCCAAGACTTCGCGAGAGATCTTCTCTTCCACCTGGTGGAGCAAACTCGGAGTGTTGAGAGTCCAGAATGCTGAAATGTTTTGGAGTGAAAATTTGGTATCATTTGGGTTTGCACTCAAACTCAAATTGGGAACCTCCGTCCATTCCATCCTATGCTTCATCACCTTGTTCTCTATGTTTAAATGGTCATAAACTGGGTATCCCGTTTTTAGATAATCTCATTTAAGATTCAGAAAAAATCAGGACATGGCCTACATTGCCAGGGTATAATCAAGCACTTCAGGGTTTTTTAATCATCCCAAGGGTATAATCGGATGCCATTTCACAAACCACCACTATGGTCACTATGGCCTGGGGATGCCTGGATGGTGGATCCGCGGCTCACCTTTCTCTGAAAGTTCTTGGCTTCATCACTCTCGAAGAAAGGCTGCAGCAGGTGATGAAAATCTTTTCCTCAAGAGACTGAAGAATGTTTACCAAAGCATGGTCCTGAAACAGTCTATCATGACATCTGAGGGATGTTCCTGGGCAGCAATCATTCAGCAACAACTTCCGTTTTCGCTTTCCGCTTTGGCACATCCCCCGGTGCCCGGTTCCCACCGGGAGTCGGAAGACGCACTGTGCTTGGTATTCAGTGCCTTCAGGTACCATGGGAACCGTGAGTAGCTGTTCTTCACTAAAGGCCGCTTCCAAGTAGCTGTCCTGCATAGCAACCCCAGGGCAGAGTTCCCATCCCAAACTGGATTCATCCATATGTGATCCCCAACCGGAGTGCGAATCCACTTTTCACCAGTATTTCTGGGTCAAATGCCCAGATTTACTGGTGAATCTCCCCTTTCTGGTGGTTTTACAACCTTTTTCAATGACTTAGTACCATTAGCCAACAATAATCTTCCAGATTGATATCCCCACTGTTACATCCTGAGTTTTGAAGGTCCATACAACTCAACAGCCCCATATTGTTTTGCTTATCATTATCACCTTTAGCACACTTATACCTCCCCTTTTCCCCATCAACCATTTATAACTTGTCACCCCATATGGGTATTTCCTGAAATAGGGCTACCCCATTCACCGGTGGTTTCCCCATTCAACATCACCCACGTTTGGATAAAGGCTCCGGTAGCAACTGTCGTTGCAGTGCAATGGCCAAACCGGCCATGCCCCGCAGCTGCCCGGGAGCCTGAGGCAGCTGGTTGCTTCAGCTGGTTGATGGTTCCCCTATGAGATTATGATCCCCCAATAAAAATGGCCAGTTGGTAATGGGGATGAAGTAAGGGGAAATGGCAACAAGGTAATATTCTGATTGCCCATTTACTATGTGGTTATTGGTAATTATGGCAACTCGTACAATGACCATAGGTAGTGGGATGATAAGCGTAGTTAGCTCCTGGACTTTGCAACTGTTAACATATACGGCGGTTGATCTAAATTCCTTTATCTGCAAACGGCCATTCTTCACGATTAAACATTTACTTTCGTGAATCTTTCGCGAACCCCACGTTTATCTTTCCCAGGGGTTGCAACTATCCACTGTTGTGCTGTTGACACGCACTCTAAAAGCATGCAAACGATAACTGCGTGAGCGATCCGGGAGACAGCCAACGGTAGATGCCGTAGATGCAAGGCCATGTTGGGAAAATTCCACCAGGAAATAAAATAGCTTCATTGTTTGGGCTACTGGTTTCCATGGACACCTTGTCTTTCGCCACTGCTTTCGCGGAACTTTCGCGAGACTTTCGTAAACATCCTTTGCAAATCAACCGAAAAATCCACGCCCTGAATCGCGGTTGGGGGTTCGGCTCCACTTGATTACACGATAGTGCTTGGATCAATTCTCTGCCTGCCAATAACAATTCAGAAGGTTCTCACTTCACCCAGGAAATAAGAGATTAAGCCGCTTAAGCCACCTCATCAAGATAAACTTTCGCCATTTCTTTTGCCAAATAAAAACTTACTTTTGCGAACTCAGAAAAAACAATTTTTGCGGGCAATTAACAATCCCTACATGGACCTTTAGATCGACTCGCATATGTTAACATGGCAAAAAAATATTGACGGGTACCTAGATCATCCTAAATTCATGTTAATCCTAAATATGAACAGGATCTTAAATCATCATTAATATTGTTTGGGCGTGTGAATAGTACACAATAGTACTACCACTGGTCTATTACCATTAACCCAATTTACTTTTAAAAATTAATACCTCAGCAGATTTTTGGATTGTTACTCCTATAGATTAAATTATTAATATAATTTTCCAATCAGCACGTGCTATTAATTTATCTAAAAAATTACCATTGGGTCTGTCTGAACATGGGAGATGTAGAAATGTTGGGGTGTCCGATTTTCAGACAAAAAAAAGACCATAGTCATTGGTTGTTGCCAAATTCATAGTCCATATATGATATAATAGTAATATCATGTAATATTGATTAATAGTCAAACCCTTATTACCATTGATTGATTGACTGATTGATTGTTAACCAATTGATTAATTGACTGATTGACTAGTTGATTCTTACTTGATTCTTAATTGATTGATTGTTCTTATCTAGATTCATCAGTCAATTTTTCTGTTCTTAAGAACAATCAATTGAAAATCAATCAATCCATCTATCCATCATTATCTATCCATCCATTTATCCAATTTACCCTCTGGTAATTTAACATAACTATGGAAAATCCCCATAGAAATATATAGAAATAGTGAATTTTCCCCAAAAAAACATGGAGAAAAATGCTGGATCTGTCCATAGTTATGTGAAAGTTTACCAGAGGGTAACACTCCATTTTCCTATGGTTTTCCTATGGTTTTCCCATTAAAACCTCCATTTTCCTATGGTTTTCCTATGGTTTTCCCATTAAAACCTCCATTTTCCTATGGTTTTCCCATTAAAAATGGTGATTTACCCATTCACCGAGCTGCCAGGCTATCCACCGCCACTGTCAGCCCCACGTGCGAAGCGCCCGCTTTCGTCAAAGCGCCCGGCACGGCACGGCAGCGATAGACGAAGCGCCGGGCCAAGGTGTCGCTTGGCTTCAAGGCTTGCCTTGGATCGTGGCTTTTTTGGAACTGTTCAGCTGGAAAAACATGGGAAAATTTCTAGGAAAATGTGGGAAAATTCTTTGAAAATGGTGGAACATCTGAGATATCAGTGGAAATTCCGTTGATTTATGGAACAACTAGATGAAGTGTATCCATTGAAACGTGTGAAAACCCTGTGAATTTTGTGGAAGAGATATAATGTTGTGGAGAATCCCATGTAAATTCGGTGAAAATCCAATGAAAGTAATTGGTAGGGAATCTTAAAACTGGTGTGGAAATGTCAAATAAAATGTAGATTTCCTATTGAATTGGTGGAAAAAAAACAAATGGGAAATCAGAGATTTGTGGAAAACACCCTATCAAAATTGTAGAACATCTTGTGAAATGTGTGGCAAAATCCTGTGAATTTTGTGGAAACACCCTATGAAATGTGTGGAAAACCCTATGAATTCTGTGGAAACATCTATGAATTGTGTGGGAAAGACTGATTAAATTCTGTGAAACATCTTTGAAACATCTTTGGATTGTACAGAAAATCCTATGAAATTACTTGCACATTCTATAGTTTTTGTGGAAAACCCTATGAAAGTTGTGGAAACCCTTGTGAAACGTGCGGACCGCCTTATGAATTGTGTGGAAAAACCTATGATTCTTGTGGAACATGTTTATGAACATCGTATGAAATGTATGGGAGATTCCTATGAATTTTGTGGAGAAACATATGAATTCTGTGAAAATCCTATGATCTTTTGTCGAAGGTCAATGAAATTCATATTCATTTCGTGGATTTCAGCAACATGTCCACAGAAAATTGAGACTTAGCAGCTAGTGGCTTTCTTCAGGACTTCAATTTGTTGCTGTGGATTTCACCTTTCAAAATAAACGTGAAACCTTTACATGATGTGAACGCGCAAAGGATATGCATTAAAGATCATTAAAGGATGTCGTTTTATTATGTTTTATTGCAGTCCTTGGCAAAAAAAAATGTGTTCAAATGGATGTTTCATAGGCTGCGGTTGGTGGACTTTGAGATGCCATTACTGACCTATTGGATACCCCCACTGCCAAAAAAATATGGTTCGCATATTTAATCCCATGGGCAAACAATTCCTCCATTGCTTTGCCAAAGCAATGCTGACCCACCGGGAAATTTAGAGGTTTCGCCAGCCCAGGGACTGCGAAAAATTGTGGAAGAGGTGTTCGCCTCGGCTGCTGGCCACGGCCCGATTAAGCGTGGAAAAACACACTGGATCCAAGTGACCTTGAAATTCCCGAAGGATCTCCTGGATTCACAACAAAGGCTGCAAGATTTCTCAGAGATCCAAGTGAGATTCACAACCTGAACACCAAGCCTTTCAGCACGCATCAGTTCGAATCTGACACATGCAAGACCATGTGATTCATGATCCAACAACCCACAAACTACGAGAAATAAGAGTATGTGCAAACAGTGAAGGACCGAGGAACAACCCGCCCAAAAAAAATCTGCAGGCTCTTGCAAATCATCAAAAATGTCGCAGCCACGGACCCACACAAATTGGCTGATGTTTCCTATTCAATTCTACAGTACCCTCTGGTAATTTAACATAGCCATGGAAAATGGCCCATTTATAGATGGTTTACCTATTAAAAATGGTGATTTTCCATGGCTATGTTAAATAACCAGATGGTAACCATCTCATTTTTCAGGCCCACCCTGTCCTTCAGCCGGAAGAACTGGCCCAAACGTTCTTCTCCATCGTCCCCTTCGCCCCAGCCAGCTTGGTGCTGCTTTTTGGCCTCGAAACTCATCGAAACCGTAGACCCAATGGATGGAGCTAAAATCTCACCGAATCCAAGGCTTTACCCCCCAAAGATGGATTTTCCAAAAAGTCTTCCTTTTGTTTGTTCTTTTCAACCAATTCTGAGAGACAAGACAAAAATGCGTGAATTGATGATGTGGTGCGAAATCGTCACTGCATCAATGGATTTACGGTCCGACTTTTGCTTTGTATTTCGTGCTTTATCATGAGCGTTTCTGTGTACAAAGAATTTGCTTCTCCGCCTGGGCGCACATGCCAGCCCAAGACAACCATTGGACATGATCCGGCTTCGAATCTAGATCTATATCTACAGAAAAGGGCCCAAAAAAATCTGAGCTGAAAAGTCATCCAAACGCACCGCTGGTTTGTCCATCCACCAAAAAGCCAGAAGACAGACCCCAGTACCACAAAATCAAACATTCTAGGCTTTTCAGCTCTTGCAAGCTGACACATCTTGGGACTGGAGCTTGGTTGTCAGTTACAGTATCAATTCTTGTCAGTTGCAGCAAAAGGCGGGACAAGCCGGCAGCAGATAATTCGAAATTTCTGGCCATCGGCCTATCGGTGCAGAAAAGTGGCATGTTTTCTTCTGGCTTCAGGCGGAGGGAAGATGGTTCTCTTTAAGTTGAACCCAGCTGATGCATCCTGCGCGACAAATCCAGAATGTCCAGATGCAAACATCTTATGGGGTGAAATGTTGTTTAATATCCATCAATATCATTTCAATATCCATCAATAGATATATCATGATATATTATGATATATTCATATAAATATCCATATCCATAAACATTCATAAGTTAAGTGAGGATATTTAGGGCAAATTTGAGCCATTTTTGCAATGATTCATAAGAGGCACTTCCGTCCTCCAATGTGGTGTCCATGTAGCCATTCTGCGCTGGCGTTGTCTCCTCCAGGTTGTCGACCTTTGAAGCGGTCAATGGTGGATGGGATTGGTTGCCCTCTCGCAATCAAACATGGCTGGAAAATCCGCCATTTTAGCTAGATGATTTTCACAATCAAATAGCCATGTATAGAAGATTTGGAAGATTTGTCACGATTGCTGTCACTATTTTATAATATGTTCATGTGGTAAAACAAATGTAAAACCAACAATAAACCATTCCCAACATGACCCTAAATGGGTGGGATTAAAATGGTGCCCAAATGGTAGGCAGGTTGGACTGTGGCTGTGCCAAGCGACAATCAGCAGCTCCGTGGGCAACAGGCAGGTGAAGTATCTTCGCATACAGCACCTGGTGCTGTCACAGAATGCTAGTTCACAGGACCGTTCACAAATTCATCAACCAAACAAATACAAGAACATGTTGAACAAACAAATAAGGGTGTCCAAATATCCTGAACTGTAACATTTTCGAGCATTAAACCAAACTACAAACCAATACCATCCCCACACCTCCAAGTCCAAGCACTGTCAAGGTCACAATTGCGGGCCTCTCTGCATGGAAGTCGCTTGGCAGTGGCCCAGAGCGGCCAAAGATCCGAATCTCCTGAACTTGGGACTCCAACTATGCAGTATGATCTGTCTCAGGGGAATCTTCATACCATTTCTTAGAACTATCTAAACATATCTAAACTGGACATTGGTTAGATCATGTTAGATCCACAAATTGAATCCGTTTGATGATTTGATGATTTAGCTGCAGCTCATCATTAAAAAAACCTGCCTTTTTTGCCATGTCCATGCGGCGTTTACGAAACGCCCGCGCCTCAGGGAGCGCGGCATTGGCTTTGGCACACCACAGGCCACGATCCTGATGGATTCTGATGGATTTTTGGATCACAAAATGATGGGATTTCATCTGGAGCCATGGCATATGTATGTCATATGTATGATCATATGTATATATATATATATGTATGTGTATGTGTATATGTATATGTATATGTATATGTATATGTATATGATAGGATCCTTGATCCATATCATTTTTGTTGTGAAATCTTTGATCGCAGCAAATTTCCACCAGCGCACTAAAGACCGAAGTGAAGCACTCAGTCGGAGGCACCTCGGGCGCCACAATCTCTGTGGTTAAACTCAAGACATCACAGGCTTTTGGCAGGTCCTACAGGTTGGTGAACCCCCTGGGCTGATCATTGGGGCACCGCTACCGGAATGAAATCACTCTTGGAAAATTGACAGCCAGAGAATCAACCAAGGGTTTACCAATCCCAGATTTTTTCCGGGATATCCCAGGATGACTTCGTTCATGGGCCAAACCACTATCTCTTTGATGTTGCGAAGTCGAGGAAATTTTTGAACCTCCCAGTGCTTCGTCCTGGACAAAGAAACCCTTCAAGAAGCTGAATAGGTGAAGCATTACAACCTCCCAAGTCCAATCTCCAACCACTGGGCATGACTCCCTGATCTCCTTGGCATCTCTTTCTGATGCAAAAGCACCGGGCCTCGGCTTCAAGAGTGATTTTCTGTAAGGCAAGATCCACAGCAATTGCCACCGCCCCCAATGATCGAGCTTGATGAAAATATTTTTTAACCCCTAGAAACGGGATGATTTATTTATTTATCACTTTCATAGCCCCCTTCTGTGTTTTTTCATGTTTTTTTCTATTATGGATGGTTTTCAAAACTTCGGCAGCCATCACATGTTCGGTTGCAGATAGATTCCCTGGGCTTCCAGGCAGACTGGACTCTGCGTAACTGGGCACACCAGCTTGCGGTGCACCCCGCGCAACGTCCAACGCCCGCAGCAACGGCTGCTGCCAGTTGCTGGTGGCCTTTTTGTCGAAACTCATCCAGTGGCTACAGGAAATAGATGGAAATAATGAAGAATCACTGGCAAAAAAACAACCCATTTCACAACAATTTATCATTTAACACCCATTTAACAACCCATTTAACAACCAACATTACATATTTGGATTTCAATTGGTCAAATCACCAATAATCTGTAGATGAACCACAGAAACGGTCGCTGGCTCACCCCCTTCATGACAACAACTTCAGAGTGCGGTTCATTCGAAAAGGGATCCACTGCACACTGAAAAAACGTTGCAATTGGTTTCGTCCAAAAATCGGGTAAACAAAAACTATGGTTGATCATGTATCATGTATCATGTATCTGTGGATAGACCATGACGCCCCCTTCGAGGGTCCTACCGCTGTCCCTTGAGGCCCGATCCACTCCTAGCACCAAGGCCACCCTTTCCGTGGGTCGTTTGATTTCCAGACCATCTGCAGCTGCACTGGCGGTGCATTTGGAATTGCGAAGGTGCTGGAACAACCTGGGTCTTTCAAGGCCGACTCCACCAAACTGAGGGTACAATGGGGATAAAATAGGGATATAATATGGAATATTGGTGGTATATTCATGGAATATTGCTGGTATATTCATGGAATATAGGTGGAATAATACCCTCTGGTAATTTCACAGTTTGCGATCTGGAAGCCATGGTCTTTAAGTTCGATGATAAATCCCATAGCAAACTGCAACAAATTATCGGAGGGTGACTTGTTCAATTTTGGGGTTCACTTTCAACCCACCATCTGAACCATCAACTTGGCATCACGAGGTCCTTCCCAGTGAAGTGTGAAGAAGAGATGAATTGATGAAAAGAATGAATGAACCTGAGATAACCTGGAATAACCTGAGATAACCTAGAAGAACCTGGATGAACCTGAGATAACTTGGACATGCCATTCCAGTCTTCACTGCGACTGAAGACACAGCTTCTCAAAGCCGAGCTGCTTATTTTTAGACGGAAAGGAATCATCGCAAAAAGCACATGTCAGCGCATCCAGAGTCATGCTGAACCGCTGGAAACATCAGTTAAGAAATTGTTGAGGTCAAGCTCCAGATCTGCATCGCCCTTGAACAAGGCAAGACAAAAAGTTGACGTCTTCAGTTGTGCTCTTCAAAGCAAACTCATTATAATAGGATTGGGGGATTTTGGGGGTCCCAATACCCCAAACATCCGGAAAGGAAAAAACACCTGTTTTTTCTAGGATCATCGGCTGCATGACACAATTTCCATCACTTTATGAGCCAAAACAGCTCATCCGTTGCCGATTCGGCCAGGAATTTGAACTCCCAAGCCACACCTTTGAGGCTTTGCTGACCGAAACTGTGTCACGCAATGGATTGATCGATCAATTCTAGGAGTCACTCAAGCAGCGGAACCATTTTTCCCTTTTTTCAAGGGTTTGAAGCGATGGCAGCATCAAGCTCCAGAAGCCAGGCCGGCAGCTTTCCACCTTGGGGGTTTGGCCAACTTGAGAATGGATACCCATCAATGGGGAACCCTGGCAGTACTGAACTATTCATGTTTTTTACAAAAAAAAATGCCCTATACCCAGAGAAAAACTCGAGTCGGCCGGAAGTCTTAGAGTCTAGAGTCTAGAAATAGGTTTGTCTGAAAACAGGGTAGCCCTGAATCTATTGGTTGATGGTCATTGTCCCTATTTCAATGGCTATTTGGGGATATACATGGATATACCCCATTTTCAGACATCCCCAAATAGCTAGCGACTGATCACACTTGAGCAGCTCACATTGAGCCATTCATCTGCTAAAGCGGGGCCCTCACCGATCCAGGTATTGACTTGTTGCTGCATCGGGGCAGGTGCCTGTGACACTGGCACTTCTCTCAAACAAATATGGCGGTCCAACAACTGTGACTTGCGTTGTACGATCAACAAACCAATGCAATGCTGGAACATAAAGCAATACATGGGAGATTTATTTTGACTTGTTAGCAAGCATATATATATATTATATATTATACGGTTATTAAAATATTCCACTTCATAGTTCCCATATCATAAAGTTGCAAGAAAAATCGGGACAACCAACACTTTCACCACGGTTTCACCCAGCACGGGACCCTTGGGATCCTTGGGATCCTTGGGATCCTTGGGATCCTTGGGATCCGTAAGGGACATCCAATGAGAAATGCCGCCTCCCGGAGCATCTGACGCAACAGAAGCAACTCCTCCACAGCAACCAGGCGACTTGGCCGTTGGGCCTCGGAGATCTCTGCTGGATCCATGATGTTTTGGCACATCCCGCGGTCAAAAAAAACATAGTAACATATTCCCTATGATATCATTTTATAACTATATATAACTATATATATATATAAATTACAAACTACTTACTAACTAACTGGGATACACATCCAAGTACGCCTATCCCAGTTTTGGAAAAGACCAATCTTTTCCCATCCACTGGGCCTCAAAGTCCACGATCTTTCCCTCTTCCAAATCCTCCAGCTCATCACTGGCCTCACAAGACTTGGAAGATTCCCCAGTAAACAAATCGGGTATTGCAAAATGGGAAGATTTGAAAGTTTTCCCAGAAAAAATCTGGATTGAGAATTCAACTGTCAAAAATGAGAAGCCAACTACAACAAGAATGCTATTGGATACAGCCCATGTTTTGATGGCAAGAGAAAATTCGGTACCAATTTGGGGAGGAAACAAATTGGGCCAAAGCTAGCTAGATACCAGCTCCGCGTTTTTCCATATCACCATCCAGTGCCCAGAACCCTCATGCCTTCTACTGATGGTTGGGTTCCATCTTGGAGTCGCTAAAAAAATCGAATTGCGCTCGTGGAAACAGTTCGCATAAATCCAAATAAAGTCCGACTAGAATATTCCAGAATTTTCCGCATGAACCACAAGGGATCAACGATGATCAACGGGCATTTCAAACAGATCTAGGTCTACGACCTCCCAACATTCGTACCTCTGAATCTTCATCCTCATCAGGCTCGGGCGCTGTTTGGAGCTTGTGCAGGATCTGCGGATGCGCCAGGATCGCAACGGCGCTTTTGCATCCCCAAAAAAGACATGAGCAGTGTCGAAAAATGTCGAAAACCTAGAGGGAAATCATGGGAAATCCCAGATAACGGTTGGTTCATGGTGATTTCGAGCGAGGATAATGATAGATGATAGACATGATAGTCCCGAAGGTATTGCGCATGGGTATATAGTATAATCCCAACCATCAACCTACTTAGAATTTTTGGAACACATGGAAGCGAACCATATTCCATCACCCTCTGGCCATCCAAACCATCCAACATGTTGGCCAACAGAATGCAACCGGAAAACCCATCATTTTTGTGGAACAAAAATAGTCCACAAATCCAGTCATCAAACATGGTTGGCAGGGAAACCCATCATTTTCATTTGGATACGGCGAACACATGCAAAAACCATGGACATAAAATGACATAAATATGTTGATCTGCCAGCCACATGCGTTCCCAACCTGATGACCCTGAAATCGCCCGAAAATGGATGGTTCAGCACTGGTTGGCTCCCAACATCCCAAATACCTTTGGGGGTTAAATTGGGTACAGGGGTCAAATCGCCAATTTACTCCCCGAAAAAGTGGCTATCATTTACCCTCTGATTTTTGAAGATAGCTATATATATATATATATATAGAAAATGGCCAGTTCAATGATTTATGATGATTTACCTCCTAAAAAAGATTAAATATGAACAAAGGTGGATTTTCCAATTCGCTACGTTGAATAACCAAAGGATACCTATATCGACCTGCTCCAGCTCCGGTCCACCACCATTGGGCACAGCGTCCTGGGTGTCAGATGTAAGACATCAGGCTTGTGCGGCACCTATCACTACCGTATGGGCAAATATACGTATACCATCATATAATACCTCTGCAGATATCTGTCTGTCTATCCAATCTTATCTTATCTTATCTACTCTCTTATCTGACCTTATCATACCTTATCTATCTATTTATATGTCAAGATCTTTCAACAACCTCGCAAGGCTCGTCCTCGCTTCCACTGTCACCGTGATCCACGGGCTCGGGAGCCGAGCCCTGGAGCGAGGAGACGCCCATCATCATTTCCCCCATGAAATGGCAATGAAATGGCAATGACGGGGTTTTAGAAAGCTATTGTTATTGCTACAATTTGGGGGAACTCCCCCATTTTTGGATGGAAACTAGGGGGAAAACGATTTGTCCTGAGGCGTCGAAGCACACGGAAGGACAGAGTTCAGCAACAAGCGCTTGTTTGTGGCGTGAGTTGAATCCAATTCAAGTGCTCATTTTACAACTGGCAAGTACCGAAATCAGGGGCCGATACAACCATCCAAAAGTTTCGCATGCAGCACCTAAAACTTTGCGAGTGGATATTCTTGCCAGGGATCTAATGATTAATAGATATTGGTCAAACTTCGAAACCTCTAAAATATCCGGAATACTAAACGCCATGACCCAGAAAATATACCTATGAAAATATGACATGAATATACAAAAGAACATGGAATCCCCAAAATATTCCAAACAATTTAATATCCAAATCCCAAATGTTGATATCTATGTTCGGTTGCCCAAATGGTCATTCTCTCGCCTTCCGCAAGCGGATGAGCTGATTGCTCTGCAGGGCCACTTGCTGCATGAGGTGTGGCAATCCTTCTCCGAGCATGCGGGGAATGGGAATCAGTCAGAGATCCAGTGGAGAAGTGCAGTTTGATCTACCAAATGTTGATAGGTTGGTTGTACTGAAACGTTGCCTGAAACCTATGACATCATATCTATTATGACCACCAAGAAAAATATGCCAAGCCGTGATGTGAGCCTGTCTCCGAATGGAACCCTCCATGGTTGATCCTCTCCCCACGAAAATCCCCCACGATCCTGCAGCGACGTTCGGCGGCAATGCCTCGGGCACATTTTGCTAGTGAAATCCACTCGAAAAAATCTCAGTTGTGCTACTTACAGATCTTACAGAATAGAGTTTATATCAGTTTATAATATAGTTTATAAAGTTAACCAACAACTTCTTCATGTCCCTTTAACCATCGATTCATCAATAAAAACCATAGCCCCCTACCCATCACAGCTCCAAGCCTGTGTGCATCCCAAGCGAAACAGCTGTAGGAAGGCCAACATCGTCACCTACCGAGGCGAAACCAATCGGATCCATTGGATACCCAGCTGAGACCCGGCTGATAATTTGGCCAATGCTGAGAAAACAAACCGCCAGATTTTCTGTTCTTGATGTGCCAAAGTCAAGCTAAGCTATGGATGAATGACAGGTTTAAGGACTTCCAATTTGCAGAAAGCTCCGTTTTTCTTGTGATGTGATTGTCCATAGCTTTTTCTAGGGCAATATTCATGAACTAGAAATGCTACAGATTCTGTGACAAAACATTCATTCATGGATGCGGCCCCACAGAGTTGCATACCACGCTAGAAACCGTCGTCTAGTATTGGATCAATTCTGGGGTCTGTATGGGGGGATGTGTCATATTTGGGGGATGGGAAACTATGAATCACATGCACTCCCCAAACTCCCAACCTTGCGGTGGTCACGCCGTTGTACCGCAGAGATCTTCTGCATCCAAACCTCTCAAAAAGATCACCCCGTGGTGGCATTTTTATGGATCCCAAATCCCCACCAGAAATTGCCAAAAAAAAAAGAAAGGAATTGCCAAAAGCTTGCTTTGCCTCAAAAATTTGTGTGCTGAAACCTTTCTCGTCGGCGCAACGCAGGAACAGTTCCGGATTGTACCTCTGCACTGCTGCTGTACGTGGCAGGGATTCCTCGCAGATCTCGCGTTATTAGAGTTATCATTGAAAAATGGATGTCCACATCCTATGCTTGTTTCATGACGAATAATATGAGGAATGACTCGCATCTCCTTTTCAACACAAACTAAGACTGTGGCAGTTGCAAGTAACTTGGCATTCCTCCCATTCGGTGGGATTGCTATCAGATTTTCCCAGCATTAATCGAAGCAACCATGGAAGTGGAAAATGACCCGCTGGAAGATCATTTCCTGTGTTGATTACTAGTGGACGTCCACCTCCATGTTTGCTTCAAATAGACTGTTGGGGTCCCCAGGATAGAAACGTGTTCGCTGCGCACCAAAGCAGTGTGGCCAAGGCCACCAGTAGCGACCTTCTCAACTGGTGAGTGCCAGTCTCTCCGGACAAGCGTGTCCTTGGTTTCTGCTGAGTGTGGCGTGGTATGAAGTTGTGATTTTTATCCACAAAGATTGATGGGCAAACCCCCAACAAATGGTGAACCAATGGTGAATAGACCATTTCATTGATTTCATTGGCCCCAAAGAAATGAAATTAGAAATTAGACTTAAACCCCCAAAGAATTCCAAGACACGCACCATCCCCACAACTGGCACTGGTCGCAACCCATTTTCACCGAAGGCCTTTGCCAGGTCGAAACAGCATGGCCACTCCCTCCGATGCGCTGACCTGGTCTTAGACACCACTGTAATTTCCAGGAACAGTGGAACCGTTTACAATCTGACCCGCAACCGCCCGAAGCGAACCTTTGCTCCCTATAAGTTACTGTAATGATTCTTCAGGGATCATACGAATACTTATTTGAGGCTACTTGAATGCGTCAACGATCAAAACAAACAAAACAAAACAGAACCGCTAAAGTGGAGCTCACCCTTTTGTAGCTTGCAAGCTCCAAGAGGACCAAACATCTAGCCTGGGATTTTGGGATATTAGCAAGATGCACTTTTTACGTCCAGACAAGGTGGCACCAAAAACAACCTTGCTGCAATTGCCGAGGTGCTTCCCAAGATTCCTTGTGCAGGAAACACTGCCAGCTGTTTGTGCCATTAACCATCGCGGAGGCACCTGAGCTTTCAAACGGATCGAACCCTACAAGGGGGGGTCCAGCAGACTCCCGAATTCTGCGACAACTGGGTCTTTTAATGATACCCGTTTTGGGATGGGTTTTTGGACTATGACTATGACCCAATTTTCTGGATCCATTGAATCCATTGGTAAGCAATTGTACCCTCTGGTAATTTAACATAGCTATGGAAAATCACCATTTTTAATGGGAAAATCCACTATAAATGGCCATTTTCAATAGCTACGTTGGTTTACCAGAGGGTATGATCCAGGTATACCATAAGGACGTTGGCATGTTGGATGCCCAGGATGCCCAACTTCCCCATCTCCAAGGCGCATCGATGTTCTACTCCCCAGACCCAGCCCAGTAGAGGTTTCCATGGAAGGGCCAATTCCAGCTGAACCAACAAACGTGAACGGACCAGCAATGGATCCTGCTCCTGGCCACTACGACTGAAAAGGCTTATGATGGTTTGTGCAAAAAAAGGGATTACATGTAAGATGAAATGTGCGCATCATATCATATACATATGTGTATATATATATATACGTGGATGATGTTGTAGACTATAGATATGGATATACTACTATTACTACTAATTCTCACTACTAATGGTTATCATGATCATTATTATAATATATATATAATGGAGGTTTCTCCACATATGGTGCACTTCAAAATCTTCAATCGAGCCAGGCTCTCGCCCATGAAGCTTTCGAAAACCTTCAGAATCTGCACAAAAAAAACGTGACCTATGTGCTGCTTGTATATCCGGCATGCTTATGTATGTATGTATGTATGTATGTATGTACGTATGTACGTATGTACGTATGTACGTATGTACGTATGTAACGTATGTAACGTATGTAACGTATGTAACGTATGTAACGTATGTAACGTATGTAATGTATGTAATGTATGTAATGTATGTAATGTATGTAATGTATGTAATGTATGTAATGTATGTAATGTATGAAATGTATGTAATGTATGTAATGTATGTAATGTATGTAATGTATGTAATGTATGTAATGTATGTAATGTATGTAATGTATGTAATGTATGAATGTATGTAATGTATGTAATGTATGTAATGTATGTAATGTATGTAATGTATGTAATGTATGTAATGTATGTAATGTATGTAATGTATGTAATGTAGTAATGTATGTAATGTATGTAATGTATGTAATGTATGTAATGTATGTAATGTATGTAATGTATGTAATGTATGTAATGTATGTAATGTATGTAATTTATGTAATGTATGTAATGTATGTAATGTATGTAATGTATGTAATGTATGTAATGTATGTAATGTATGTAATGTATGTAATGTATGTAATGTCTGTAATGTCTGTATGTCTGTAATGTATGTAATGTATGTAATGTATGTAATGTATGTAATGTATGTATTGTATGTAATGTATGTAATGTATGTAATGTATGTAATGTATGTAATGTATGTAATGTATGTAATGTATGCAATGTATGCAATGTATGCAATGTATGCAATGTATGCAATGTATGGAATGTATGGAATGTATGGAATGTATGGAATGTATGGAATGTATGGAATGTATGGAATGTATGTAATGGATGTAATGGATGTAATGGATGTAATGGATGTAATGGATGTAATGTATGTAATGTATGTAATGTATGCAATGTATGCAATGTATGCAATGTATGCAATGTATGCAATGTATGCAATGTATGCAATGTATGCAATGTATGCAATGTATGCAATGTATGCAATGTATGCAATGTATGCCATGTATGCAATGTATGCAATGTATGCAATGTATGCAATGTATGCAATGTATGCAATGTATGCAATGTATGCAATGTATGCAATGTATGCAATGTATGAATGTAATGTATGTATGTACTGTAATAAATGTAAAGTAATGCAATGCATGTAATGTAAATGTAATGTAATGTATGTAAATGTATGTAATGTTATGTAAGTATGTAATGTTGGTAATGTAATGTGTAAGTATGTAATGTATGTAAATGTATGTAAGTATTTAAATGTTGTAAATGTTCTTTAATGTATGTCATGGTATGTAATGTATTTAATGTTGTAATTATGTCATGTAAATGTATTATGTAAATGTAATGTATTACGTATGTTACGTAACGTATGTATGTATGATGTTATGTACTTAAGTACGTAGTACGTAATGTATGTGTGTATGTGTGTATGTGTGTATGTGTGTATGTAATGTATGTAATGTATGTAATGTATGTTATGTATGTAATGTATGTAATGTATGTAATGTATGTAATGTATGTAATGTATGTAATGTATGTAATGTATGTAATGTATGTAATGTATGTAATGTATGTAATGTATGTATGTGTGTGTGTCTGTATGTATGTAATGTATGTAATGTATGTAATGTATGTATGTATGTATGTATGTATGTATGTATGTCCCGTCCGCCAGGATCGCAGCAAATGATTTTCGTGTTGCTTGAACCTGCTGGACACCCTTGAGTTGATCTTGGACTTCAGAGCTGTCACCGCCATCATCTGGATCGCCCCAAGTCACAACCAACCCATCCACCAGGATCGCAGCAAATGCGCTGTAAGTTGCTTAAACCTGCTGGACACCCTTGAGTTGATCTTGGACTTCAGAGCTGTCGCCGCCATAAGCTGGATTGCCCCAAGTCACAAGCGACCCATCCGCCAGGATCGCAGCAAATGCGCGGTCAGTTGCTTGAACCTGCTGGACACCCTTGAGCTGATCTTAGACTTCAGAGCTGTAACCGCCATAACCTGGTTCGCCCCAAGTCACAACCAACCCATCTGCCAGGATCGCAGCAAATGCGCCCGAAGTTGCTTGAATCTGCTGGACACCCTTGAGCTGATCTTGGACTTCAGAGCTGTCACCGCCATAACCTGGATTGCCCCAAGTCACAACCGACCCATCCGCCAGGATCGTAGCAAATGCGTTGTAAGTTGCTTGAACCTGCCGGACACCCTTGAGTTGATCTTGGACTTCAGAGCTGTCGCCGCTAGAATCTGGATCGACCCAAGTCACAACCAACCCATCCGCCAGGATCGCAGCAAATGCGCCCGAAGTTGCTTGAACCTGCTGGACACCCTTGAGCTGATCTTGGACTTCAGAGCTGTAACCGCCATAACCTGGATCGCCCCAAGTCACAACCGACCCATTCGCCAGGATCGCAGCAAATGCGCTGTAAGTTGCTTGAATCTGCTGGACACCCTTGAGTTGATCTTGGACTTCAGAGCTGTCACGGCCATAACCTGGATCGCCCCAAGTCACAACCAACCCATTCGCCAGGATCGCAGCAAATGGGCTGCCAGTTGCTTGAATCTGCTGGGCACCCTTGAGCTGATCTTGGACTTCCGAGCTGTCACCGCCATAACCTGGATGGCCCCAAGTCACAACCCAGTGGCCTCCGCTGCAAAACAATGCAAAAGCGCGTGCTGTTGCCGCTACCTTTGGGTGTATGACAATGGCTGTCAGGTTGTCTCCATCTTTAAGTCCTGCAGATTGCAGAGACACTGCAGGATCCACCATGCCATGATCTGCATCCACAAGCCTCAAGAAGCCACGTTGAAATGATTTTTGCGCCAGAATCCTCAAGTCCCCTACTTTGGAGGACTGAGGAAATTTAAATGCCTCACTGCGACCGCTTGGCAAAGCTATACTGATTTGAATCATCTCTTGAAAACTCCAGCTCGTCCAAGTTGGTGGCTTCAACCCCCTCTTTCAAGTTAACTGGGATTATCACCCCTTTTTTCCGTGGTGTTTGAACGGTGTTTGGATAAAACATGACAACCACGTACCCTCTGGTAAACCAGCTTAACTATGGAAGATCATAATTTTGAAGTTTAGTAAATCAACTATTTCTGTGGCAATTTCCAATAGCAAACTCTTAGTTTACAACCACATCATTACATTTTTCACCACCAAGCTGTAGCTGTCTGATCTTGAGCCAAACTTCGCCCAACTCCGGCATCCTGCTGAAGATTTGCTGTCGACATCCGGTGATATATAACTTTAAAGGCTTAACCAGTATATATATAACTAGTATTCTGATGTATAACTGACCGATAACTTATAACTTATACTTATAACTAATCAGGTATTTTGATCGATATATAGCTTATATATCCTCTAAAGCCCGAAATACATCAAAATACCAGTTATACTAATGGTTGTCAATGGGGTTATCATTTCATAATTCCATAAATGAGGCTATATGAAATGTTATAACTGACTTACAACAAAGGGCCAACAGTTCTTTAAGTTCTCTGGCTATCTTTTCGACCCTGAAATCGTCGAGCACATCCATGAAACATGTTGGATTCTTGTGTAATCTTGTGTATATCAGCCTGTGGTTTACAGAGATACACATCTATACCGCTAGCCAAACTGTAGCCATGCACCAACCTGAATCATTCAGGTCATATTGGAATGATTTCCCATTATAATCCCATGCAAGATAATGCCCGAAAAATCGAGGCTCCAAGTGAAACACACACACAAATATTCAACCTGTTTCAACCTGATCAATTGATGCGGTTATTTCACCAGGTAAAACCAGGGATTTCACCAGGGATTCGTAAGTTTCAGGAGATGCGCCAGCCCGCGGTCCTTTTCAAACGCGCTTCTCAAAGCAAGCCAAAGCACTGAAGGATTCTGAACTCAGGGGGCCACTTTGAGCCATGCTGGCTGCACATGTAATCACACATATGCAAACTGATCAGCAATTGCAGAGCTGTCACCGCCACAACCTGGAATGCCCCAAGTCACAAGCGACCCATCCGCCAGGATCGCAGCAAATGCGCTGCCAGTTGCTTGAACCTGTTGGACACCCTTGAGCTGATCTTGGACTTCAGAGCTGTTACCACCATAATCTGGATCGCCCCAAGTCACAACCAACCCATCCGCCAGGATCGCAGCAAATGCTTCGTCAGTTGCTTGAATCTGCTGGACACCCTTGAGTTGATCTTGGACTTCAGAGCTGTCACCGCCATAATCTGGATCGCCCCAAGTCACAACCAACCCATCCGCCAGGATCGCAGCAAATGCTTCGTCAGTTGCTTGAATCTGCTGGACACCCTTGAGTTGATCTTGGACTTCAGAGCTGTCACCGCCAGAACCTGGAATGCCCCAAGTCACAACCAACCCATCCGCCAGGATCGCAGCAAATGCGTGGTAAGTTGCTTGAATCTGCTGGACACCCTTGAGTTGATCTTGGACTTCAGAGCTGTCACCGCCAGAACCTGGAATGCCCCAAGTCACAACCAACCCATCCGCCAGGATCGCAGCAAATGCTTTGTCAGTTGCTTGAATCTGCTGGACACCCTTGAGCTGATCTTGGACTTCAGAGCTGTCGCCGCCATAATCTGGATCGCCCCAAGTCACAAGCGACCCATCCGCCAGGATCGCAGCAAATG